AAACCAATTAACCAAAATTTGGAACTCTATCCATGACTTACATGCAAGTAGGGCAAAATAAAAACGCACTGATGCTGAATTGTTGTTTGCACAAGTCGTAGATCCAAAACGATTGGGTGAATAAATGCATTAAAAGGAATCAGAAATATTCCTGATAAACAGAGTGAGAGAGGGTTAAAATAGTTCATTTCACGTCCTTCATGCCGCCTTACAAAGCCCTTCCAACATATACACAATTAAAATACGTCTGTGTGGTTAACTTGGAAGTTGAATACAAATGTGTTTTTCATTATTGCATTCACCGAGAATTCCCCTGTGAGAGCAAGAATTGCTCCATGACAGTCTGTGCTTGAGAAGGATTAGGAAAGGCTGTTTGTAGATTGCTGATCTCTTCCTCCTATACACGGTCAACACATGGTTATGTTCTACTATTGTTGGGCTATTATTCACAATTAAAACACAACCAAATTCACAATCGTTTCATATTGTATCCCATACAAGCTCCCATTTCTGAACACTATTCGATGTTTCGTATGTGTAGGAATACAAGGAAGGGTTAACACTCCGTAATAAGGCAAATGATCAGCATTGATCAAGTAGACAACATTGTTCATCCCACTGACATCCCGTGGACCTAACCAAATTTAGAGTCTGCACACCTTGATGAATTTGTTGGAAATTGATTCTAGTGTTCCAATACTTGAGATTATCTGATGACAGCCTGCAGCAGCTACCTGTTAAATATGGAATGATAGATAGTATCAATTCTAACACAGCAATCTAAAAGAGGGTTCAGTGAATGACTAACAATAGAACAAGCATTGAACTTTCAAATTAGGTGGCTACCTATGAATTACTGACCCTCATAAATGGTCTCTTACGATATATGGCTTTAGCCTTATTCAATAGTTCGGATTTAATTTCTTCAGACGTTAGCTGTGGATTGGTGGTTGCAGTCTTGATCTTTTATTAAAAGATTTGGGTTCAAACCCTGTGCCTGAGCATACAATCAGGCCTAGCATGCCAGCGCAGTGCTGAGGTTTGTGCTACACAGCTGAAGATGCTGTCGCTCAGTTGAGACCCCTTTGAACTGACATCCCATCTGTCATCTGATGGGAGCTTAAATAGGGTGCTGTAACTAATATTTATCAAATCACCAACCATACATTAAAGAGCTTAAGTGGGAATTTATTTCATTCCTGTTTATGGGAACTTGTGTAAATTGGTGGTGTTTGTTTATGCTAGAATAGCAAACACACTTCAAAAAAATAATCGTGGCAGTTCAGCCAATTAAATATTCCAAGGTCATGAAAAGGGTCTATGTATATTCTGCCGGCAAAAATTAATAGACCAGTTATTTATAGAAAGCAATTACAAACACTGAATAAATGATATGAAAGACAGTAACTTGAATTTATAGACAAACATTGAGACAATGAATTTACATGTAAATACTTGGACTGAACATTAATTCAGGAATACCAGAATGGATTTCAACCACAATGACACAAGTATTCAGTGAACCTTTCCAGATTCTGGATACATGCCAATTTGGCCCCTCAGAAAAGCATTTCTGAGCCCTTAACAAAAGCAAAGGCAATCAGGGATAAACATAAAAAATTAAGACTTTTTTTAAAAACATTAATCAAATTTCTGTCGCGTTTTACACCAGGAAGAGAACAAGTTTCGTCTACAGATGAAGTGGGCTCAGCAGAGATAATCCAGCGAGAGCATTCAGACTTAAACCAGTCCTCACTGATAAGTTATATTTCCATCTTTTTCATATACTTCAACAAATTTCTAGATGTACATTTAAGAACGGGGAGATGCCTCCATAAACGTTACACACTGTTATTACATGGCCATATTGTTGTTGGCTCTGTACAATTACAGGATTAACATTAAACAAAGGGACAAGGCTGCCGATTATTGCAAAATTACAAAATACTTACTTGGTTAACAATTCTAAAAAGGTAGCAAACAGCTTACTCCAGAACCAACTATATCCTCAAGTACTATTTTGTTTGTCTACACTAATTTGCGTTAACCGTTTTGCAGACTGTTCTTTCACATTGCCTTTTACATTGGAAATCAATTAGGTGGCCTCCTTTGAGCCGAGTGGAACGAGAATTTTAATTTCGAATTACGATTCAAACTAAGTCTGAGAAATATCAAAAAGCCATGGCTTAAGGTTTATTCGCCAGGTAATTTGACAGCCTTTACCAATTAAGACTCCTTCATGTCTCAGGTTCAATTTCACTTACAGCTCCTTTGCAAAATCTGTACCAAGTTCTAGCTGAAGAAGGTCTACTCGGTTTGACCAAAGATAAGGTGAACTTTGTTCTAATAAGCTCCCGCTTTAATAGAGAAAGGAGATGGAAGAGGAGTGTGAAGTTTTTGGCAGGTCCAACAGCACAATTTTAATGAATGTTAGGTCTCTTCTATATAAGAGGACTTAGCTGCAGTTGCTCTGGCACACTCAAGATGCACTTTGTGCCATTAAAATTTCCTTGATCCAACTCAGTTGATGAACATTTGAAAAAGGAGTAGGAAAGAACGAGACAAAATACTGTGCTGAGACGGTACTGTGGATAAATAGTGTTCATAAGGATCAGTCTCTCTATTCATTCTGAAAGAGGGCTCATTTGCCGCGTGCATTCTAATTTCAAATAGCAAAACTGCATATGGTGGAGCTGACGTTTTGACAGGAGTTTTTTTTTGGGGTGGGGGGGCTTGTTATTGATGGAGGTGAGGTGCAACAGAATGGATCCCAAGCTTGAAGTAACTAAAGTCAACCACTTGTGCCCCTGTTTTTAATAGGGTATGCAAACACAGCTTGGTTTACTGCTCTAGCATTACATCACGAAGGGGGATTACTCCAAACAACGAACTGGAGATGGAAAAGGGCATGAAATCCATTCATTCATTGGTACTTGAAAGTGCTGGAAAATTTCAACGCATGCTGGGTGCGTAAACATTTCTGATGCTTCCACGTACGCTGCATAATAGCATGCAGTACATTAAGAAACAAAAGTTACAGATTTTCATGTCAAGTCATTGTTAATATAATTGCACATCATGCAAGCCTTGCAGTGAACGTGTGTCATATGTAGCAGACCCACAGATGTTAGCTTGACTCCTTTATTCATTTGGTTCTCATTACTGACTCAAACTGACTCGAGTACTTGACTGGGGAAAACGACCATATCATTGTTTTCAGACTTCAGTCTATGACTTAACTGAAATACATCTGCCAGTACAAGAAATACCAAGTACCTCTTGGCGCCAGAGCTGGCGCCGCAATATATGACTAGCACTTGGGATTTTTTTTGATTTTAAAAGTTTGGTAACCCCAGAAATCTATTTCACAGAACTCATTCTGTGACTAAATGTGATTCACAAACATCACTATTAATTCTTTTCAAATTCTTAAGATTTATTGCAAAATATTCCGAACTAACATTGACGGGCATTACTGGAAAGCAGACTAATTGCTGTGAAGCCTCAAAACTGGCACAACCTCCGTTACACAAAGTCAGGAGACACTTTTGCCACAATCCACCCCCCGCCAGTCATCCTTAAGAACTGCCGACTGAGAAGCTCCCCATACTGCTGAGGTTATTTTCATCACATGACAGGCCCAAAGTATTAGATTTTAAATCGATGGTTTGTATAGCATGCCTGACCCGTTAGAAGAAGAATTTGCAAATCCACAACATTGCCACTTTTAGACCCATTCCCGAAGAAAATATGCAAGGCAAGTTTAATTTTGCTCTGCTGTCTGTTTTTCTAGGTGGTGTCTGTGAAATATCAATATAACTTCTAGATCACTCAGTAAGGGTCAACCAACCATCGCTTGGTTGCATCAATAAGATGCTGAATGGGAAATCGAGACAAACAATGGAAGGTTGTTCTCTCGTCAACTATGCTTAAAAGTACTTGAAAAACACAAAATACTGTCACAGCTGTTGGCGTCAGCAAGATTACTGTCACTTTCAGATTACAGAATGACTGGAGTGGATGCTGATAACAGCAACTACCACACTCCAAGTACAACTCCTGTGAACAATTGTTCATTGGTGGGTTCCAGACAAATGAGCAACGTAAAAAGTATCCATCTCAGAATTACAACTTATCCACAGAACGTGTCCATTGTGGAAGTGCTAATCAATATCGAATACAATGTTTGCCTGTAACAGGACAACACAATGCCTAAGAAAGGCTCAAACCGTTTAAAACGTGACTAGTGTTTGTCATTCATCAATAAGTTCAAGGAAAAAGACCAATATCATCAGAAGAATGCCACATTTACGTGCCACCACTAAAGGTGCAGAGGAAGAGTACAGCAGAGGAAACAAACAGACATGAAACCTCAGGGCTCACTTGACCTTTGCATCATTGAGAAAGCTGGGGATGAGCAAGTTGAGGCTTAGCCATGCAAATCATCAAGAAACCCAAGAACCAGGTTATGAATGTGCACGGATATGCTGTCAAAGGACAAGAGGTGCTTTACGGAATTGTCAGCACACATTGGACTTTTGCAATACAAGAGCCTCAACTTTGAAGTTAGTTCAATGACTGAGCTATTTCAGCACGTGATTCAGACTGCACTTCAAGGCACATTGAAAATCTCACCATGAGGTAATGGAAAAGTCAAGAGATTTCTGCATACCTTTTCTAAAATGAAGTAATATAGAGCCTAGACGAATGCAAATTGTTGGTAGCTACTGTTTCTCAACGCCAGGAAAGCCTCTGGCTACACTCATCTTGCATGTATATGTATCTGCGGACATGTAAATCAACACGTACAAAATAAATGAATGCAGTGCCAAATTTGCTAAAACTAGCTGACAAAGTAGCAACAAAACAGGATCAATGTGCAGTGATCATGGAATCACAAACTGGAAAGGCAGCACTGAAAGGATGGATGAATACAAATGAAGAGTAAAACATGAAATTGAGCTACTCCACGATCTGTTGCCTTTATAAATACTGTGAAACATGATGGTTCCATTGGAAAGCAAACAACCCCTCTGGCATCCAGCCACTGGATCATCCTATCGTGAGAGTCACACAAATGTGGTTTGGGAATCAAGGCATTCTTCAAAAGCATCGAAGACACCATTTGCAAGCTTAGAATCCAATTTAGATAACCATCTCGGATGAAGAACGAGTTAAATCAGACCGCTAAAATAAAAACAAATAAAAGCGAAAGTTGGAGATCTGAAACAAAAACAAACTACTGGAGTAACTCAGCCAGTCTGGTAGCATCTGTGGAGAGAAAAACAAAATTTAGAACAGAACTGACTTAGGGTCACTGGATTCGAAATGTCAATTGCTTTTCTCTCCACAAATTCTGCCACCCCTGCTGAGTTTCGCCAGCACTTCCCATTTTTGTTTTAAATGAGACCACAACTGATGTCAGGCAATATCCTACTTGAAGAAACATGCCCTGCCATTGTTAAAAATTTGTATTACAAATATGTCTCATGTTTAATTCATTAATACAACTTCCATCTCAATGTGAGGGACTGCATTGTTAAATTAACAGAAAGGTTAGAATATGTATAACTGGTGAAAAGGAATGCTCACATTATGCTTAATGTTTTATTTATATTTTTTAGAATTATTGAAACATATTATTTCCTATTTACCAAGATGCAGAATGTCACTTATTGGAAAATGCATCGTACACTGTGTACACTTTGTCCACACTTTGTCCACTTAAGGTCGTCAATCAAATGTACCAGCAGAGGCACTCTAGGGCATTAAAAGATTGCATGCTTTAATGGATTAGAGTTTAGATTTTGGATGCATCTTACTGTATCTTGTGTCGTTCTTTGGAGAGAACTACACAAGAAACTAGTTTATGTAACACATCAGCTAGCTGCCTTTATTGATATTCTTAGGTGCATGATAATAAGTAAGATATTAAGTCAATTTATATTGCTAGGCCAACATATTCTGCAATCTTGTTTGAGAACATTCATAAGGCTTAAATGTAATGTCAATGATATGTAGGTCTTCTTTTTTAAACATCACTTTATAAAATTCACTATTCTTTCATTCATATACTTGACTTCTCCATCTACAAAGTTGTGACTTGCTGAAAGAGTGGTTTGGTTTGTAGTGCTGCAATTACATAAACCTCCAGGATGTAGGAGAGTAGCCTGGAGCATTTCTCCACTATTCAGTGACTTCAGGGGCAAGAGGAGGAATCACTTTTTGCAGCTGCAATATTTTGTACGATAATTCAGAAAATGTTTATATTAATATGTAAAAAGGTAGCACTTGGTTCATCTCATGAAGATTAGCCCAACATACATCAAACAGCTGCCGATCAGTTCACAAGTGATGAAAACCTTATGAAATACATTCAAACTCACACTTGAGACAGCTGCGCCACCTTTTTCCTCCAGACACACACCAACCTTTGCAAACTGTAATTTTAAATCCACATGCAATTCATTTTAAGCACTGAAACTCAACCCTTTCATTTAGGATTTACAGTACAAGCTATGTTACATGCTTACTATTCAGAGGGTAAATTATGAATGACAGAAGTATCAATTCAAGTTACTACTGTTGAGGTTGATCGTGTACGCGCATTCATTACTTTAACGTAAGTTGACACTTATTCCACACCCGCTTATCGTGTATCCATCTACCTTCAAAGTAGCCTTACTGATAACAGCTAAATATCGTAACACATGCTGGAACAGATGCTGGAAAATCGTGACAAATAATTTTATGAGTAATTTAGCTACAACGGCTGAACAAGCTTACCATTCTGGATATCCTTCATCTCCAAGTGAAGACTTGACATTAAAATTCCAACAGCCTGTGACCTCTTATTGTTAAGAAGTTTCACCACCTGCACAAGAAAGAATGAATACATCCCATTGTTAGAGAACAAACCAAAAAAATGCATATCGCTATTTTACTGGAACAGTAGTGACAATTTCAGCTGACTGAAGGCTTTTTTAAACAAAAAAATGCCTTTTGTTATCCCTTCATAACAATCCACCTTCACAATCAGAACAGGGAATACTTTGTTCTGGAGATTGAAGAAGCTGAAACAGGAACTCGTACTATCTAACATGAATCCAAAGTCACCCTGAAAGTGAGAAACTAGAGGAGTTCCGAATGCAACTTTAATGCTATCCTTTCCATGATCAAAGGAAGGTGGCCTTTTCTCCTTAACTCTGCTTAGACTAGCAACTAGCTAGCAAATACCTTTTCAACTTTTGAAACCTGTTCCAATCTGTGTACTGAATGTCACCATCAACCTGGACCAAAGGTTTCCAAGATTTCTTTGTGAATTGCATTTTGTCAGATCCATTCCATTTTATAGTTGATCCACAAGTTAACTTAAGAGCCAATACCTTTTGAGAGGAATGCAGAGAACGGTCAGGGAACACACTGTGACTTGGGTCTTTATGCAATTCTTTAAAAAAGGGCAGCACAGGAAGATAAAGCCAATGAATATGCCAATAGTATGTTTGGGTTTCAATAATAGTCAAACAGTAATCATGAAAGTTGAACAATTCAGTGGTTAACCTCAGTCAGAATATCACGTGCAGTTTTGGGCACAATATTACAGGAAAAAAAAACATTAAACCAGCAATCCTACAGGATAGATTCACCAAAATGTTGCCAGGAATGAAAAATTACTTTTAAAAGGGGAGACACCCAAGAAATTGGCACTATTTATATTGCTGCAGACAGCTTGAGGGGGGATTTGAGAGATTTTGTGAAAAAATGGCCAAGAAACGAGGGGCCTCAAGATTAGAAAAGAAAGCAAAAAGATCCTTTCGACAAATACACTCCTTCTCTCGCTTGCTTAAGTTTCAAGTGCGGAAATAACTTAGACAATTTGCTTTGCAATTAAGTCAGCAACAGTTCCCAGAATAGGATTGGAATCTTGCCTACTTACAGATTTGAATTTAATGCATTGCATAATATTGATCCAATTTCAAAGATATTTTTGTAGCTTATGGTTAGGCCTTTTAGATTGACACAAGAACAGCTTATCTGATTAAATAGTATTTTGATGTGCAAAGCAGATTGGTACGTACTGCAGTGCAACATCACAGCTATCTTTGGTAGCAGCATGAAGGGTATTGGTACTGGAAACGTAAACATCTCCATCTTACATAAACAAGCCCATTAGTGCTAAAACTTTCTTAGTTTAACAGTTAGATTGAGTGCATGTTCCCTATACGCAGCGCTAGCTTCTAAAGAACATCCCCACTGAAGCTCAGATCAGCTCCATAAATCTCCCTCAGTGGGGATCCTGCAACATCTTGACACAATAGCAATCTTCCATTATTCACATCACTATTGAATGATTACAGCACGGGTGGCAACCATTCAGCCCACTGTGTCTGTGTGCTGGCTCATTGAAGATTTAATTCATCTACTGCCAACCCTCAACTTCTCCCCAGGAACCGCACATTATATCTTTCCAGATATAATCCAATTTCCTCCAGAAGGCCTCAATGGAACTTGCCTTCACCACTCAGTCCAGATCCCAACAGCCGGTTGTGCAAACATTTTTATTTGTGGAAGTCACCATTACTTTCTCTTTCAATGCCCATTTTACTTCAAATTCATACTCTCTGGTTCGCAATCCTTCCACCAATGGAAACACTGTCTCCCTAGTTGCTCCTTCCAACACCTCATGATTTTGACTACCTCTCTCAGATCTCAATCTGCTCTGCAAAACCGCCCAACTCTTTAATCTACTCCCCATGACTAAGGTTCCTGATGCTTGTAGTCATCCTCTCGAATCTCACCTGCACATTCTCTCATTTTTTTTTTATATAATCACTCCAGAAGTGAGGCACCTGGAACTGGAAACTACATTCTCATTGAAGTCAAACCAGCATTTATACAAATTTAGCTTAACTGCCTTGCCTTTATACTCTGCTCCTATTAATAAAGCCTAGGATGCTTTATGTAGTATTAACCATTCTGGCAGAATGTCTGACACTTGCGACTTATGCACATTTAAACTTTACTTTGCTCTTGCGCATTGGACTATTTATGTTATGTTGTTTCTCCACATTTTTCTTGCCTTAATGAATTAAATTCAAATTTCTCACAATTAAATTTCATTTCCCACTTGTACTTGCAGTCCACCAGCCAGCCTATGTCATTTTAAAGTTCTACACTTTGTCCCTCAAAGCCCACCATACTTTTGTAATTAAGTCTTCAATTTTCACAGGTTTTATATTGTTTGTAATTTTCATTTTTAAAAAACATTCATTCATGGAATGCAGGCTCTGCTAGCTTAAGGCGCTGTTGATGGTGAGCTGCCTTCTTGAAATGCTGAAGTCCATTTGGTGTGGGTACACCTTCAGCACTGTTCGGGAGGGAGTTTCAGGATTTTGACCCAGGTGACAAAGGAAGGAATGGTGATATACTTCCAAGTCAGGATGGCGAGTGGCTTGGAGGGGAACTTGCAGATGCTGGTGGTCCCATTGAACTGCTGCCCTTGGCCTTCTGCAAGGCAGTAAACATGAGTTTGGAAGCTGCTGTCTAAGGAACCTTGGTCAATTTCTGATAAGCCCCATACCAATGTCAGTTGATAGTATGTAACCTGGAAGGGCAGCAGTCTGAAACCCCACCCTCTGGAGACAGAGCAAATCTTCCTCCAGTCAAAAGAAAACAACTGAACTGCTATTACAGTCAGTCACAGTCACTTTGCCAATTTTGTATCCATGTTGCATCTGTCCTTTTTATTCCCTAATCTCCAACTTTACAGTCGTTAGACTCGAGCTCCTATTTCTTTATGCCAATTTGTTAAAAAAAAACTTTTAAAATACAAGCAATTGTATATTCAGCAACAGGTAGTGAAACATTGAGAGTCTATCCCACAGAGTTAGGAGAATTCACTTGAAACTGTAAACTCTGCTTTTGCTTTTAAAAAAAAAAATGATAAATTCCTATGCTGTCTCAAAACTTAAGCATTCAACTGGAAGTCACAAGTACTTTAATAGTTAAAAGAATTGTTACGTTAATGCGTGGATCTTTGTATCAAATTTGCAATGTTTCAGCTTGAAGCAAATGAGCTTGTGTAGCATTAAAGAAATTCTAGAACAGACAGATGAATAAATTTAAAGGGTTTTAATGCATTTGTACTTAAAAAGCAAGGCGACATGCTTTATTAATTGACAGGTCTAGCAATTCATTTATTGTACCACACTAAAAAACCTTTCATCAGATTTGTTTTAATGGCATTATTTGGATCAAGTTTCCTCAGAGCTGATAAAAATCTGCAACATCCATCAGGCACTACTAACTGAAATATTAGCCACCTAAGGTAGGAGGTTATTGACAAGTAGTCCGAAGCTTGAGATTTTTACGAGCATTATTACAAAGGCTGGCAGGGAGCAAAGGTTTTCCTTAACTACAATAATGTCATTCCTTTGATACACCCACTTTGTCAAACAATTTAAAAAGGCTCAACTGGCTTTCACCATTCCATTCGGCATTTACCAGGAGAAAAAGATAGATTCCAACTTGATGAGATATTTTACCTCTGCACAAAAAAAAATGCAAATAACGCCACATACTTACATTCTTTCAACTTCATACAAATATTAACTAAGAACCAGTCAACTTGACAGCCAAAGCATTATATTGCAGCCTAACTAATAGGTTTGATTCATCCAAAATATAATCAGAGCTGTCTGAGTGCACTCTGTAATCAAGGACAAATAAAAACTGAATATCGCTCCAACACCACCACTTGGCGACATGGATTAATTATGTGGAAGAAAGAACTAGATCAGGCATCTTGAGTGACAACTCCAAATATCTACTGGTTCTAAGTAAATACCTTCCAGTACTACACAAGGCCATGTAACATTACAATATAAACGAATGATTTCTGTCCGTGAAAATACTCATTCATAACATTATAAATTTCTGCATCATTTCTTTTGATCTCAGCCTGATTGGATCAGCACATAAAGTAACAGCATGACAAACAACAGGAAGTAGTCCAATAGCCTATTCCTGTCCTATAAAACTAAATGATTTAAGGGCAAATATCTTCAAGCTAAAACTCAAGTTTGCCTCCTTTCTCCCTTCATCGTTAAATTATCAAATGTCAGCTTCACTGTAACAATTCAACAGCAGAAACAATACTTTCCCTGGACAAATTTTATTCCTCGAGACAAAGTTACCATCAACTACAAACAAATGAAATCATATTAGCTGATTACATTGAATTATCTATGTTTCAAATTTTCACATCTTTTAGATGAATCAATTAATATACTGATTCTGGTTTGACCTATTCTGCAAAAGGGGAGAAAGGAGTCTTGTTGGTCTTGCTCACACATCCTCTAGTTCTGAAATTATATAGTTTATTGCAAAAAAAAACCTGCTTGTACCCACATTATTCCAGTCCTACATTATTCCTGTCATCTCCCTAATATGTTTAGCATGGACTCTCAGCTACAGACAAATAAAAAGTCAAATTTTCTGTATTGTTGTGGGCAGGACTCAAGTTCAATTTCATCAGATTAGGAAAAATTCAGTCTTAACTCGCCTGTTCCACACCATGTTCTCTCACTACACCATGGACTATATAACGTTCCTACCCTAATTTTGCCAATTTTTTTTCCAGTGGTCAGCCATTCACTTAGTATACCTGTTTCCAGGATCTTTCTTCTAATTTAAGCTGCATTTAAGCTGATTACAACAAAGATTCGTGATTTTATTCTTATTATGTGGTAGCATGGGCTCTAAAGTGGACAGAACCATGCATAGCTTCAAGTATCATTTGTATTGCTACCTTGTGTTATAAGGGGAGACGCAATTTTGGTACCATTTTAGATGTGTACTAACAACAATGCCAGG